AATGGAAGAGAGGTTCTTCCCAAATTGGGTGCTTTTTGATCTGCACAGTAGGTTAAATGCATGTACTTAACCTTTTGCCAATTGGGTGCCACTTTTCACTGGCTCTGGAGGCCTGAGCAGACTCTCTGCTGCTTGGTCTCTCCCGACGTGGAAAACACATCCTGAACGCCACTGCTTGCCTCACTGTGCATGCCAGCCGATCAGGTCTGTAGTGTGCTGGCTCCCACCGGGTCAGGTCTGGCAACTCTTCACTGTTTCTGAACTGTCTCTCCCTCCCCCTGCCACTCAGTCCAATTCCTCAACTTTGCCTTGGATGTTCAGGGCTCCTAGATTGTCATATAATCAATTCACTTGTTTTTTCCTGTCTTTGTTGTAAGAGGGACCACCAGAAGCATCTGACTACTCCCCCATCTTGGCCCCGCCTCTCCTATTTCTTCTTGAGCAGGCTTTTGCAATTTGTGTCTTTCAAATTTATTTCTGTCTTCAGGTTCAGTGCAAGTTCACCTAATCTGTTGTTAACCTCATCAAGTGTAATTTTCATCTCATTGTAGTTCTCATCTCTAGAAATTCAGTGTGTGTGTGTGTGTGTGTGTGCGCATTTTAAGTATCTCAGATGTGGAATACAGTTATAATAGTTGTTTTAATGTCTTTGCTCATTCTAACTTTAGTGTCAGTTCTGGATCAGTTTTGATAAATTTTCCTTCTCATTCTAAGTTGTGTTTCTCTGCTACTTCATATGTCTAGTAATTTTTTACTGGATACCAATCATAGTTAATTTTATCTTTCTGGGTGCTGGAAATAGATTTGTATTCCTATATTTGTCTTAGTCATCTACTGCTGCTAGAACAGAAGTACCACAAGTGGATGGCTTTAACAGAAGTTTGTTCTCTCACAGTCTAGTAGGCTATAAGTCCATATTCAGGGCATCAGCTCCAGGGGAAGGCTTTCTCTCTCTGTTGGTTCTGGAGGAAGGTCCTTGTCATCAGTCTTCCCCTGGACTAGGAGCTTCTTAGTACAGGGACCCCAGGTCCAAAGGATGCGCTATTCTCCTGGCTCTTGCTTCTTGGTGGTATGAGGTCCCCATGTCTCTCTGCTTGCTTTCCTCTTTATATCTCAAAAGAGTTGTTTTAAGACAAGCTAATCTTGTAGATCTCATCAACATAACTGCCACTAATTCATCTCATTAACATTATAGTGATAGGATTTACAACACATAGGAAAATCACATCAGATGACAAAATGGTGGAGATCATACAATACTGGGAATCGTGGCCTAGCCAAATTGATCACAAATTTTTGGGGTACACAGTTCAATCCATGACAATATTCTTGGGCTTTTTCTGAGGCATTATTTGGAAACTATTTGATCCTTTCACTTCTGACTTTTATGATTTATTAGGGTGTTCCAGAGCAGTCTTAATTATTCCTCACTATTGAGGGAAGACCCTTCTGAGTGTGCTACCAAATCTTCTGTACATTATGAGGTTTTCTATTCTGGCTGGTCGGAAGAGGCACTATTCCCAGCCCTGTGTGAGCACAGGGACTGTCTCCTCTAATCTCTTTGGGAGGTGCATTCCCCAGCCTTGGGTGGTAGTTTCTTCGCATTCATACACTGAGCAGTGTTCAGTTGAATACTTGAGGGGCCCTTCAGATCTTCAGAGTCCTCTCTCTCACCCCCTCTCTTTCTCCCTTTCTCCACCTCTCTGCTCTCTGATACTCTGTCCTTTGAACTTGCCTTGGTTTACCCCAACTCCCACTCAAGGAGTCTGCTGGACTCTGGCTGGGTTCTCCCTCCTTGTGCTACTGCCTGGAAATTCTCTCAAGGCAATAAGCTGGGCCAATAATAGGGCTCACCTCATTTGTTTCCTGTCTCTCAGGTATCAATGCCCTTTGTTACCCGACTCAAGTCTCAAAATCATTTTGTCATATATTTTCTCCACTTTTTGGGTTTTTGTTTTTTTTTTTTTGTTTTTTTTTTTAAGGGAAGAGGGTAAATCCTGTACCTGTTACTCCATCTTAGCTAGAAGCAAGTCCTTTACTGGAGGGTTTTAAACAGTCACTCTATACTGTGAAGCAGAAGCAGGGAGATCTGAAGGTAGGGGCCTATTGGGAGTCTTCCATGCAAGATGTGTTTTTAACTAGAGCAAGATGATGGACCAGGAGGGAAATGGATGGGTTTCCGCTTTGTCTGGGAGGTAGAGATGACCAGGTCTGGCTGACAGCCTGGATGTGGGGTGTGAGGGAAAGGAAGGAATCAAGAGAAAATTTCATCTGGCTTGACTCGGCCTGCCTCTTCCAAGTCTCCATCCCTCACCTCACCCATCCTGCCCTGTCAGTACAGCAATCCCTGAGTGTGATTTCTAAACCAAGGACTCTTTGAAGAGTTCTCAGAACCCGTCAGGCTGACTGGTGCCTGTGCAGCTAGCCTAGTGTATTCATTCATTGGCCAGTGTTACTCCACAGTCCAGGATTCCGATGCTTTAGGGCTGGGGCAGGGCTGTATGGGCTTCGTCTCCCCAATAGCTCATATGGGACCCAATAAAGGGACAAGTGGGGGGTTATTCATTTTTCTAAATTTCTATCACAAATTTGTCTTAGCTCCCTCTCTCCCTGTCTCTTCTCTTTCTTTCTCTGTCCCCACCCCCCACCCCATATATGATGCACGTGTGAGAACACCATGCATGTAAAGCATCTGACAGTCTGGTGAGAGCTCACAGATGTGGGACAACTTGGAGGAGGAATGACACCTGTGGGCTGGCAGTGTCCCAGGCAGGAGCAGGAAGGACTTTTTGCAACAGAGAGGAGGCTTTTTAGGAGGGATGAACAGCAGGAGTAAGGTACAGTAAGGGGCTGTTGTGTCACGTTTCAGCAGCAAAGTCCCCAGCAGACCACGGAGGGCCCTGAATTTGAGACACAGGCTTTGGGGCTTATCCTGTGGGCACTGGAGAGCCACTGGGCGTTTCTGAGCATGAGGGCCACCAGAGACCAGGACACCAATGTCAGAGTGCACGCCAGGGTGGCAGCCTGACCATCAGCCACCACCCTGCTTATGTTGGTCACATGGCACTGAGCACTGCTTTCAGGGGGCTTCCTCGCTGCAAGAGGACACACCCCTCCCGGGGTGGTGGTGGTGATGTCCTCTACTATCTGGGCCTTTGCTCTTCTATCTTGAGGTCCTGGGAGGGGAGGGGAATGCCCACTGGGTCCTGCAGTGAGCATGTGCTAGGGAGAGTGGGTGGTCTCCCAATGATACTGTATGGTGGACAGGTGTTCCACCTGAGCCTCTCCCCTCCACCACCAGAATCAATCCTCTGGTCAGGCCTCTGGATGCTCCTACTGAGCCATTCTAGGGAAACTCTTTGCCCTCCAGGGCCTCACTAAGGCTACTATGATCACCTGTGAGCTGCTGCTGGGTTTCCAAACTTCAGGCGTCTCCCTTCACAATGTTTGCCATTAGCCCATGTACCACCTGTACTGTTTGCTTTAAAAGAAAGAATGATTTAAATACATGTTTTGTTTGAGAAGACAAACTTCACACACAATGAAAATCAGTAAGGTTACTAACTTCTAGCCAGATATGGCTCCCTGCTCAAGGCTTGGACCAAAGCCTGCTGCTTACCCGCTGGCACACACCTGGGCATGTCGCCTTGCCATCATGGTAGCATAGGAAGCTGGTGGGAGACGGGGAGACCCAAAGCATCTTCTGTGGAGGCCCTGCCCAGTCTGGGGCAGCAGCACTGGTGTGTGCTCAGATGCGTGGTGTGAATGGGAAGCCAACTGGACAGGAGCTGCGTCTTGGGGATGGGCACTCGGTCATGATGAACATAAGTGGCATCTTGAGACATCTACAGCAACTGTGATGTGGTCTGCGGTACCTGTGGTCTACGGGCGATTAAGTCCCAGGTGTTGCTAATGCCACTGTTGTTTATCTGCGTTCCTCATTGGAGGAAACGCAACATTTCAGTTAGACGTTAATGAAAATAAAGGTGTAATTTTCCCCACTGTAGTGCACAGGGCCCCCTGAATTCTACTCCAGACCCTGGGACCCGAGGTTCAGGCCCCTGTTCCATGCCTCCCCTATAGACCCACCACTGCCCACTTCCCTGGCAAGGCCATGTGAGGATTTCTCATTTTTTGTGCTGGCTTTGGACACGTCCCAGCATGGGGATCCAGCCCTCCAAGGAGCAAGTGGTCCCTTTGCTGACTCTGCGTCCAGGAGGGAGGGTCATTCCGGACCTGCACGGCTGCCCACCCTGGGCCGAGAAGTGGGGGGTGACTTGTGCTCAAGGGACACGGAGCAGAGAAGCCCAAAGGAATTCCAGGCTGAAGCTGTGTGCTCAAAGACAGGTCACGGGATAGACCTGTGTCTGCAGGCCGAGGGAGCAAGTGCTCAGTGACCAGGGTCTAAAGTCTCCAGATGGCCCTGCTAAGGCCAGGACTGCCCCAACGTGGTGGCCCGAATGCAGGTTCTGGTAACAGGTGCCCAGGCCTAACCTCACGCCACCATAGCTTTGCCTGTGCGGCCACCTGGGTCCAGGGCATTGTCACCTGTCTCACCTGTCCCAGCTGCTGTCTCGAGAAGCCTGAGCTAACAGATAAACTGTAAAGTGCTGTGTAAAAGGCCAGGGAACATCATCACACCCTGGAAGTGCCATCAGCAGAAAGGTGACCACCATGACATGCCATGTGCTGTCTATACTCTGGGGGAGCCTCCTCTGCCCCCTTACTCAACACATCTCTAGCCACCTGCCTACTGAGGGCCACTGGAAGGAAAAAGTTTTAAAAACCAAAGTCCTTTTTCCCCCAAAATATTTTTTTATTCTAGCATTACATTTGTGTCTCCAATTGTGAGTATAAAAATGCTTAGAAAGTGGTTACAAAACAGTGTGAGCTAGACAAGGAGCAAGGGCTGTGCCCGGAGGCCCACTCACTTCCCACGGTTCCCTCTTCGTTCTAGATGACACGGGCCTGGCGTCTGGGTCGGGTCGGCCTGCCTGGGCTCAGTCTGGCTTCTCCCTCTCAGAATCTAGAAAACAAAACCGCCATAGCTCAGTACTGTCCGGTGCGGTGGCATGTCCACGAGGCCAGTCAGCACCTAGGGCAGAGGGGCCCAGGCCCAGCCTATGCTCCCTGGGGGCTGCTCACACGGAGGTGGAGCACCGTACAGAGTGACTGCACCCTCAGAGGGCCTGGCTCCTGTCGGTCCTAACAGTCGAGCCACAGTGTGTAGACAGCCCTGATTCTCAGAATCTGTCACCTCAGCCGTTGTCCTTTCTGCTTCAACAAAGTACACGGAAAGCTTGCCCAAAGCCCAGTCCTCAGTTCCTGCAGTGTCCTGGGGAGTGCACTGTGTCTCAAGCAGGAAGCCCCACCAGCCTCTCTCTGCCCAGGGGCAATGCTGAGCCAGGCACCCCGTGCGGCACCACAGCTCTGCAGACGCTCTGGGACGGGCCCTTCCATGAGAGCAGAGGCCACAGCCTCCTGCCCCGGCTGTCTCTGTGGGAATGAGGAATGAGCAGACCCACAGCTTCCAAGGCACACAGGGGCAGAAGACAGCCCCTCAGCTCCAGCATGGTTAGGGAATCCTTTCAGGACCCCAGTGTGCTTGCAGGAGCATGAGAGCAGGCAGCTGGAGGACTGCCTCCTGGGGGACAATGGGACGATGGCGCACTCGGTAACGCACACTGAGCTCCCACTGGAGCAGAGCCCTTCAGCAACCTGTGGATGACCCTCTACAAGCACTCAGGCTGCCACTGGTCCAGGAGAAGTTTCTGGAGGGCGTGGGACATCTGCTCCACCATGCCCAGTCTGCCATAGGAATTACCACTAGCGCTTTCTTGGAGACGGCAGAGCAGGCTCAGGGATGACTGATACCTTTCAACTGGCCATGATCCTAACTCTTTTCGTCTGGGGCAGAGCCCACTTCCACAGAAAATGTAATGCACTTTCGGAGGCTCCTAGGTGTTTTGAAGTCAGGCTCAGGGCTGTGATCCAGGTTGGAGGCAGTGGAACTGGACTCCCCAAGCTGGCCACGGCCCGTGAGCTTGGTGCGTGGGCACACAGCACTGCTGGGCCAGTCCTTCCCTGCAGCAGAGGCACCCGGCTCTGGGGGTGGCCCGTCAGCAGGGCTCCTCTGCCATCACTTGGCCTGACCTCAGCCCCTCTAAGGCCCCTGCCCCTAGCAGTGGCAAGGCAGCAGCACGTCTGTGGACACAAAGCTGGGGTGGTTGGCCTGGCCCCAGAGGGAGGGCCAGCACGCAGCTTCGCTCCCTGCTCCTGCCCTCCCTGACAGGTCCAGCTGGTCAGCTCTTAAATGGACAGAGGAAGAAAAAGATTTTTTCCACACTGTTTTCAAGCAAAAGTGTTTATTTTTCTCCTTAATATATACAGTCTCTTGGGGATTTCGTGCCACTGACTGTCGTGTACAAGGAAAGGGTTAACAGGCGAGAAAGACTCCAAATCTTAGGTTCAGTGCAAGCTGGAGGAGAAATGGTGAGAGCAGCTGTCCATTGTACTCATGAAACAGAGACATGACTCTGAAACCAAACAGACTGAGGTGCACGGTACAGAGAACAGAAATCTCTTACGACAACATTGTGCCCAGGCAGAAGATTCTGCATAATCACCTAGAAAATTCAATTCTAACTGAATTGATGGAATAATATATTTAAACCAAAATAAGTTAGCCAGTTTTAGTATTGTTCCAAAGTACAGTAGAACTATACAACTCACGTCTCGGCATCAGGAGGTGGTCTGCCTTCCAGTGGGAGTAAAAAACATCTTTGTCAGGGGAGGAGGCCGGGCCTCCAAGCTCCACCGTGGGCCGTTTCTACGCCTGTCTGGGAGGAGTGCCACTGACGTCTCCAGGAGAAGGGCAGTCTGGCCCTCAGCCAGTCAGTCTGGAGGACTGCCTGCAGGGCAGCCTGCAGGCCAGAGGCCAAGGGAATACTGCTCATGAGGGAGTGAGGTGTGTGTAGGGGGGCTCATGGGCCTCAGTGCAAATAGTTGAAAAGAAAGAAAAGCCAAAAAGAAGAGCTCAGCAGGAGAGCTGGCAGGACCCAGAGGCAGGGGCAGCAGCTGCCCGGCACACACTCACCCACACTCACAACACCCACGACCCAGCCCAGGGCAGCCCCTCAGCCTTTGGGTTACAAAGAGTGTGTCTGTTCCCTTAGCATATTCCAGCAGTTTCCTCGTAGCCTTACTAAGAGACCAGCCACTGCTAAAAATGCCCTCACTGAAGAATCATGGGCATTAGGCAGCTCATTTCTGAAAAACACCCAGAATGCTCCAGTTAAGACTGTGTTTCCATCTGTCTTCCCTTAGTCATTGGCTAAACCCAGAGAGATCTCATTTTTCTAATATTGAGCAGAGCTTGCCTAGCACCTGCAACTCTTCAATATTCAAGATAACCAATTCAATATTTTTCTAAAAAAAAAACGGCATTTACAACAGAATACTAAAGGTTGGACCTAGCTTCTAATCTGTAAACCATTCATATCTCTGCAACTTAAAATAAGAAATAAAGATATAAATGTACTAGTCAACTGTAAAATAAAATACACCTTTCCAGTACATCCTTCTTTTAAACATCTCTTTCCATTAGGGAACGGAAAAGCTGAAATTCAAGGCACTGTACTTCTGCAGGGTCATTACAATGTCCTGATAATCAATTCAAGTATAGGAAACTGGAGTGAGGATTGCGAGTGTAGACCACTGGGACCTAAGAATGAAGAGCGTCTCCAGCAGAAAGGAAGCAAATATTGCACAAGTACACTGCTCCCTCCTGTGATGGCATACCCAGCGCTGCCCGCCATGGTGAGGGGGACGTGGGTGCCGGACTGGCCCTGTGAGGTGGGCACTGTGCCCAGGCAGGCAGGGCAGCGTGCTCCGAAGCCAGATCACAACCTCATTTCTCTGTGCTGTTCAGAGCTCTCGGTCTGGCAAGTGGCAAGGCAGAAAGCTATGTGATCCACAGCCTGGGGCTGGGTGAGCTGACCATGGGCGGCTGCAAGTACGCTGGGAGCACTGACAAGCCTGGTGTACCCAGGCCTGGCACCCGGGTGAGATTCTGGCCGCCCCGCCCCCCCAGCTGGCCCACTTGAGCTGGCCAGTGCCCCCAGGACACAGGAGCTGAGAACAGGCCTCTGCATGGACCCAGAGGCCCTGCATGGGGCGGAGCTCGGAGCCTGGGGAGGGCAGTACCTGGCATGGACACGGGCAGGGCCAGGGCGGCTCCAGGGACGACTGTGGTGGACAGAGGGCCTGGCCCTGGGGTCAGGCAGGGCCTCCCCACTCCTGCTTGAGGCGTGCTCACCTACAAGGCAGGGAGACAAGAATAGGAGGGTTACACATGGCTGCAGTTAGCTGGCTGCCCGAGTGGCCCCTGGGTCCCAAGCAGGACCTCCACTTCAGGAGAGTGGGCCCTAGCACCTGCTGTGGAATGGGCACCCTCTGATGGCTCACACTGGAATGGCAGGTGGAACAGGGCAAAGCAGCAGCCCTATCTTGCTGAGAAGCACATGAGCTGGCAACTGGCCAGAGTGGAGCCAGCAGGGCCTGGGCCCTGAGGCACAGGGAGGGCTGGCACAACGGACCTCCTGTTGGAACAGTCGGTGACACTAAGGAAAGGCCAGGGCCCAGGAGCTAGGTGGCAGTGAGCAAGTGTCTCAGTGCAGCTGAGGGAGCCTGGAGCCTGAGGGGCAGGGCTGAGCACACAGAAGCTCTTCCGCTCCAGTGACAAGCCAAGGGCACCCCCTGGGAGGAAGAGCAGTGCAGGGAGACAGGAAGGAGCACCAGTGGCTTATAAGAGCAGCAGAGCCTTGGTGCCAAAATCCAACAAGGACATTTGGAGAAAAGGAAGTTACAGACCAAGAAAGAGCCTTCAAAACCCTGAACAAAATACTGCCAAATCAAATCCAGCAATATAACAAAGGTAATACATCACTACCAAGTAGGGTTTGCCCCAGGATTGCAAGCCTGCAATACCACTGGAAATCACTGCAATTCACTACACTTACACAACAAGCGGGAACCAGCAGGTGCTCTTAAATGGCGCAGGTAAAGCATCTGACAGAATGCAACACTCCTTTATGAAAAGCATTCGTAAGGGAACCTCCCTGATCTGTGAAGGGCACCTATAGAACACCACAGCTAGTACCATGTGGGTGGTGAAATGCTGGGCACCCCGCACAGCTTCTCCTCATTTCTAATGAACACTGCGCTGGAAACCCCAGGCAAGGCCAGAAAAGGAACAAAAGCTACAAATTGGAAAGGAAAAAGCGAAATTGTCCTTATTTGCAAATGACAAGATTGTGTATGTAGAAAATCCAAAAGAACAGACAAATCAACTTCTAGAACAAGCAGATTTTGCAAGACTGCAGATGTAACGTACAAAAATCAACCGTATTTCTGTGTTCACAACATACAATTGGAAATTTAAAAAACAATACAATTTAAACAGCACTCCAAAACATTAACAACCCAGGGATAAATTTAATGCAAGATGTATAACAACTTTACACTGAAAACTACAAAACCTTTACTGAGAAAATAAAAAAGATGTAAATAAATGGAGAGACACCATGTTGGTAGGCACACTTAGTATTGTTAATATGTCAAATCTCACCCAACTGATCAACAAATTCAATACAATCCCAATCAAAATCCCATCAGGCTATTTTGTAGAAACTGACAGGCTATTTCTAAAATGTATATGGAAATATTAAGGACCTAGAAAGACAATCTTTAAGAAGATCAAAATCATACATCTTACACTATCAGGTATTAAGCTTAATATAAAGCTACAGTAATTAAGAGAGCATGGTACTGCCATTAGGATAAAAGAACACCTCGATGGAACAAAATGGTGAGTTCGGAAATGGACCTACACATATACAGTCACTTGATTTTTATGAACGTACTAATGCAGTTCAACGTGGAAAGGAAGGTACTGGAACAACCAGATATGCATATACACACAGATATATATGTAAAACTTGATACCTACCTCAAATCACACACAAAATTTGAGATGGCTCACAGGTCTGAATGTGACAGCTATAAAGTTTCTAGAAAAAATATAGGAGAATGACTTCATGGTCTTGGGAGAGGCAAGGATTTCTTTGGACACAAAAATCACTAAGCATAAAGAAAAATCGGTAAACTGTACCTCAACAAAATGAAAACCTGCCATTTCACTTACACCCTTAGGAAAGTGAAAAGACAAGCCACAGACTGGTAAAACATATCCATAGAACATATATATGGCAAACGATATATTAAAAAAAACTCCCACAAATTGATAATAAAAAGATAAACAAATAGACTTTAAAATGGTAAAAATCCTTGCCCAGGCACTTTACAAAAATGGCCAATAAGAATATGAAAAGGTACTCAAAGGAAAGTTAAAACAATAATGAGAAAACTACTACTAGGACTCAAAATATTTTTACAAATAAATTTTCAAATACAATGTCCCACACACAATAATAATAGTAATAATAAAGAAAAACTAGATGAAACAAAATAGAAGCAGTAAAATACTATGTGCGAGGAGATATAATATTGAGAATTTTGGCAGAGAGCTGGAAACTATAAAAAGGGATACAGCAGATATAGGAAAAATGAATAGAAATTCTTCAACTGAAGAATACAAGAGTCAAAATTAGAAACTCAATGCGTACATTTAATAGCAGTTTAGACACAGTCAAAAAGAAATTTAGTGAACTAGAAGGCAGATTTGAAGAAAATATCCAGAATAAAGTATCAAGGGACAAAAGATAGAAAATAAGTAAAAGACAAAGACCAGAGTGAGAAGGGCTCTGTGAGGTGAAGAAAGAAGTTTGGCCTTTTGTTCTGGGTTCCTCAGAGCCAGACCACCTGGGGGCCCGATACTGACTAAGCCCCAGGAGGCGTGAAGTAATTTACCATGGCCACATGGTGAGGCCAATAAAGGCTTTGGAAGACAGAGGCTCAGTGCAAATTCCAGGTTGAAGAGAGTCAACATCTGTTCTCAGGAGGGTAAGTGCATCCACTGGGGACACAGAAGCTCCGTGCTGGGACCCCTCTTGGACCTCACCGTATGTATATCTCTTCATCTGTATCCTTCTTTATTATTTTAAAGTTATCTCACGAATGGTTCCTCCCACGAGCTCTGTAAGCTATTCCAGCTAATTACTGGACCCATAGAAGCAGAAGCCAGCTGGTCTGAAATGGAGGGAGTTATGGGGACTCCTCGGCTTGCAGCAGGTACCCTGAGGGGTAGAGGAAAACCCTGGTTTGTTTGGGGCAAGATGATCTGAAGTGGAGGGCGTCATATAGACTCCTGAGCTTGTAATCAGTACCCGCTGACACAGCCCTGGGTGGCTGGGGATGAAAGACAGAAGAGGCCAGCTGGTCTGAAGTGGAAAGAGTCAAGGAGGACTCCTGAGCTTGTAGCTAGTAACCACTGACCCAGTCCCAGGTGGCTGGGGGTGGGGGGTGGGAGGTGGGCGGTACGCTGCATGAGCAGCTGAGGTCTGAACTGAACAGGGAGAGAGGAAGCTGAGATTTTCAAATGATACAGCTGACATGTGGAGTGGGATCTGTTATCCACCAAACAATTTGGCATCAGAGGTGGGTGATCTTAGTTTTGCTAGACTGTTATGCACTATGCAACTGGCATAGTGAACTGGGTTTGCTAATGTAGCTCCTGACTGCTCAGATTTACGTGCAAGTGAATGGAGACTCAGGAGGACAGGAGAGGAGAGAGAGAATGGGGCAGAAGCAGTATTTGAAGAGTTACTGGCAGAAAAACTTTCAAAATTGATTAAAGAAATCAAGCTATAAATTCAAGAAGCCCTATGAACCCTAGGCAAGATTTTTAAAAAAGTCTATTCCCAGGCACCTCATAATAAATCTCTTGAAATGAAACTATCAGAAGCCAGAAGAAGAAGAATTCATTACCTTTAAAGGAGCAATAAACAGACTGGCAGCTTACTTCCTACAAAAACAAGGGAAGCCAAGTAACAGTGGAATGATCACTTTAAAATGCTTTAAGAAAATAACTGCCAACCTAGAATCCTATACCTCCAATCCTAAATATCCTCCAAGAACAACAATGAAATAAAGATGTTTTTAGACAAATCAAAACGGAGAAATGTCACTGGTAGACATATATTGAAGGAAATTCTGAAGGAAAACTCTCCCAGAATGGAAGATGGGGCATGGGGGAAAGAAGGAATAAAACAGCCGCAAAAATAGTAAATATGCAAACAGATGCAAATGAATAGTGACTATATAAAAAACGTATTGTGGGATCTAAGTCTATAAAAAATTTTAAAAATAAGTGTCAGGATGTGAGCAAATGCCATTAAAATATTTTATAGTCTTTGCATTGTCTGGGAAAAGGGTCAAACCTTAATATTAGACTTTGATAATTTAACGATACATGATATAATATTTAGGATAATCATTACATGAACAGTGACAGACAGTAAAGCTTCCAAGATAATGGGAGGAAAAAGGAATAATAAAACACACCTAATCAATTCAAAACAAGGCTAGAAAGAAGAGAAAAAGGAACACCAAAGAGATAGGATAAGTAGAAAGCATATGGTAAGATAACAGATTTAAACAAAAATATGTAAGCAGTTACATTAAATGCAAATAGACTAATACTTTAATTAAAAGACAGATTTTCAAACAGGATTAAAAAATAAAATAAAGTCCAATTATATATGCTACTTATAAGAGCTACACCTAAAGCATATGATACAGAAAGACTGGAAGTAAAGGATAGAGAGCATACACCAGGCAAATAATAACACAGCACAAGCAGATGTAGGTATAGCAATTTCAGACAAAGAAGATTTTAAGGCAAAAAGCATAATAAAGAAGGAACTTCATAATATTAAAAGTTCAACTCACAAGGAAGACATCATAAATCTAAATCTGAATGTACCTAATAACACAACCTCAAAATACATAAAGCAAAAATTGACAGAATATTTTACAAATATACAACCATAGTGGAAAATGGCAATGTTCCTCTTTCAATATCTGATAAAATATGCACAAACACACAAAAAATCAGTAATTACAAAGAAGACCTGAACAACAGGATTAGCAAAGCTGACCTAATGGACATCGCAGAGTATGGGAACTTAAAGAAGGCTCATGTGGCTGGGGCCAAACAGCAAAGGAGCATAAGCCCAGACAGGTACTCAGGGTGCAGATCACCCAGGGCTTTGTAGGCCATAGTAAGAATTATTAACTTTTCCCAAGAATGATGGGATTTCATTAAAGAATGGATTTGAGAAGAGTCAGACTGATGTTAAGTGTACCTGTTAGGAGGGTTCTGCAGTAGTTAGAAGAGAAATAAGCGTAGTTTAGACAAGGGGAGTGGAAGTTGAGATGGAAAGATGCAGATCCATTTCAAGCTTACCAGGGACAGTTACAGAGATTGACATCTGGGGCCATTAAGCAAGTCACAACGAATTTCAAAGGACTGAAATCATACAAAGTTCATTACCTTACCACAGTGCAATTAAGCTAAAATAACTAATAAAAAGATAATTAGAAACTCAATAACTACACTTACTATAAAGAGGAAATCACAGTGGAAGTTACAAAATATTTTGAACTGCATGTTAGTGAAAATGCTACATATCAAACTTTTGGGATACAGCTACAACCATTAGAGGTAATTTTATAGCGTTGAATGCATACAGTATAAAAAAAAAAGGCTAGAAGTCAATGAACTTACACATCTCAAGAAACTTTCTAGAACAAAATATAACCCAAAGATAGAAGGAAAGAAATAATAAAGAGAAGAGACTAATCAAACATACAATAAAGAAAATCAAAATGAGTTTGAGAAGGCTAATAAAATTTACAAACCACTAAGGAGACTGCTTAGAAATAATAGCGAAAGAGAAACAGAGAAGGCATAAATCACCAATATCAGGAAAAAGAGGACATCACTGCAAATGCTGCAAACTGTAAAAAGAGAAGAAGACATTATGAACAATGTTATGGCAATTAATTTGAAAATATACATAAATTTAGAGGAGATGGGAGAGTTGCCAGAAAGGCAGAATATAACCAAACTGTCATAAGAAGAAACAGAAAATCCAATGGTACTAAAATTATAAAAGAAATTGAATCCATAGAGAAAACCTTACCCTCAAGGGATAAGGATGCGAGATAAAACAAACACAGCGAAATCTTAATTACAGAATGCAGTGGGTAATATGGGTGTTTACTGCAGATTTTCAACTTTTCTCTCTGAAAACCTTTTAAATAAAAGGTTGTGGGGGCATCCTCCCACACTTAAAGCAAAACAAAACAAAAAACACCTCCCAGCCCAGACAGTTTCACCAATGAATTTCACGAAACATTTAAGGAAGAAAAAAGATGAATCTTGCACAAACTTCTCCAGAAAATTAAAGAAGAGGGACTGGTTTTCCACCTAGTTTTGAAGTTGACATGGCCCTCATATAAATACCATCGCATTACAGAACCTAAGGGCATTAGGAGAAAGGAAAGTACAGGCCACTCTCACTCATGAACATGAAAACCGTAAGCAGAGAGCAATTAGCTCAGCACTTGTCCCAGGTTGTCCCAGGCACTAGAGCTGAAGCCCACACAACGTTGGGTCATTACAGGGAAGCGTTGGAAACTTCCAGTCAGACAAATGGCATGGACCTTGAAGGGGGGTCAGACAAGATGAGGCTGCACCCCAGCTCTGGGCTGCCTCAGGCTCCCGCCGTTCCACAAAGCCGCTGCTGGGAGGTGCTCGTTGGCCCGAACCTGCAGGCTGTCTCCCTGCCCTCCGATCTGGCTCCTGACCTGCCAGCTGTGGGAACGTGAGCAAGTCACTTAATATTCCCCACCTGTAAAGTGGGAACACCTAAGTCATGGGGCTACTGCGAACAGGAGCTTGGGAAATCAAAGATAAGAGCTTAGCACAGTGCCTGTTGTGGTAGGCTAAGAATACCGGCTGTTGCCGCTTGTTAATGCTGTCTGGGACGCCCCCCAGCCCCCCACCAGCCGACTTACAGCCCGCACATCGATAGCTGCCAGGGCCGGGCCCACCTTGGCCTCCATGTCCTGCAGCTTCTGCGTCTGCTTCAGCTGGTTGAGTGACGGCTTCAGCTGCGTGGTGCCCACCGTCTTGCTAGCCCACTCATCCACTAGCTTGTGCAGGTCATCTGTGAAGGTGCCTTTCTTGTTGTTGCTGTTGTTCACCTGTGCCTGGACTTGCAGGGTGGGCTGAGGGCCTGGCTCGGGGCTCGGGACCAGGCTGCTTGTGGAGGACCCTAGGGAGTCACACACGGGCCAGGGTTGGTTACACTGCACATGCGTCTGTGCCATCTGGCCATTTCCCATCATTCTTATGGGATGGTGGAAACAATGGTCTCACTTAGGTCAGGCAACACCTTGCTTCAAGAGGTGGTCTGGATTGAGGGCTGGCACCCAGTTTTAGACATGGTGGAACACTTCCATGGCCGTGGGTGGCCAGGCGGCCTTAACCCACCTACCAGCAGCACCAGAGAGAGTCCCTGCCTGGAGAAGTGTGGGCAGTGTGGCTGGCCCCTGCCGAAGCTGCAGCCTCCACCCAGGGTCCACTCTGCGCCCAGTGCTGGATCCCGTGTGCACAGCTGCACACACGTCCGACTGGGAGTGGCCACAGGTGGTGCCATGGGACTCAGGCCCGCTTGCTATCTACATCCTCAGCTATGAGGTGGGTAGCACCTGCTTGCAGAGGATACGTAAGTGTACTCTGGGCAAACCAGATAGCCTGGACTATCTACATTCCATGAACTTTTTAAAATTCTGTTGTTGAGAATATTCACAGCAAAACATACACCAAATTCAGTTTCTACATGTACAATTCACTGACACTGGTTACATTCTTCAAGTTGTGCAACCAACCTCACCCTCCTTTTCTGAGTTGTTCCTCCCCCATTAACATAAACTCACTGCCCCCTAAGGTTCCAATCTAATCTTTCAAGTTGCTGCTGTCACTTTGATCCCATATAGATAGTTCTTAAAAGAGCATAACGCTCAAGGCAGACCTTTTTTACTAGTTAAGCTAGACTACTGTTTGGTTTTAAGAAGTCCTTCAGGGACATTTTTAGTTTAAGGTTAAAAGATTATCTCAGGACAGTCCATGAATTTTAATGCCTCAGCTGTTTGGAACTGAAGACACAGGACTTGCCGCTTTCCTGCCCGGGGCATCTGGGGAATGTATGGGCTGGGTACCAACGCCTAGAGCCCACCTGCCTGAGCCGGACACACTCTGCGGCACTGCTGGGGCCGCCACAGGTGAGTGGGAAGGAGCCGGGGGAACCAGCCACCCCGAAGGCCAGGAGACCGCTCTTCATGCCGGGCAGCGGGCCTGACAGCGTGGCTGGTTCACTGAAAGGATCTTTTTCACGACCAAAATAGGACTTTTATTGTGCCCCCCAACCCACATGCAATTTCCAGTTGGCAATTTGGAAGAAGCCAAATTTTGAACTTTCCGCACTAAAAAATAACCTAATGACCATCTCTTCAAACAAACTGTTTGGAAATGTAGTCTACTTTAGTGGACAGCAATGAAAAAGCACAGACACAGACAATTAGTGATGAGATCTTACATACATGGAGTTATTGCTACATGGAAATTTCAGCCAGAAAAGAAAAAGGAAAAAAAAAAAAAAGAAAAAAAAACAGTGAGAGAGCAAGAGAGAGAAGTGAGAGGCCCAGGCAGACTAATACCCATTTGATTCGGACAGCTCTCCTCTTGAGGAGGCACTCAGCTTTAGCACTTCAAGGAAATACTCATTCCTATGATTTTGGAAAAGGAGCCAATTAATGACTGGGATTCTGTGGATGTTCCGAAGCAGGCTGAGCCTGGCAGGTGTGAAGTGAGGAGACTGCCGACTCTAGGAGCCATGGGGGTGCAAAGGGATGTGGGGAGCACCGGGCGGCTGCTCAGCAGGCAGAAGTGAAGCGAGCGGTTGACAGAGGGCGGCTTGAGCAGTCACCCCGCTGGCCGGGCCTGCCCACGTGCTCCCAGGCTGGCGGGAGCCCTAGTGCACTCTAGCCACAGAAGGCCCATGCGATGGACAGAATGCAGAGCTAATAAGAAACCCAGATAGTTACTACTGCTGTGCTCTTTGCCTAAGCAGAGACGTTTCAGGGCTGACCCTGCAAGGGAAGAGAAAACGATAACAATACAGTTAGGCGGACAGTCCATACTTGCGGGGCAAGCTACCACACTTTAAGCAAGGAAGAACAGACAGAAAGTCAGCAGTTCAGAGAGAACAGGAAACCCACCCCCTACCCCCGACCTAAATGAACCGGGCAGCCTCAAGCCTAAGTTAGTGTGCGGTTAACACAAGCTTTATCCAGGAGGTGTAGATGCCAAGCTCAAGCTTTCCAAGCTTCAGGTTGAAGTGTTTGTCTCTAGAAGCATATTTATTTTAAAAAAAAAAAAAAGGGCAGAGAACAATGCTTGGCTATCAGAAGGCTCTTAGGAGCCCCACTGGTTGAGGCAGGAAAAAGACACTGAAGGTCCCTGAGCTGAGCCTCAGGCGGACCAGGCGTAGGCGCTGCCTGGCTGCGGGGCCTCACGCCGCAGTTGGCTAAGTCCAAAATGATACATTGTTTTGCAGGGTAGAGGCCAGTCCAGTATCTTGGAGTCTTGGAGGACTGACTTAAATCAAGTCAGTGCTGTCACCAAGCTGGGAAATGTAAGTGTTCCTTATCTTGGGTGTGAACCACTGCAGGTGGTCCTCAGGCCCCTTCTTGGGTGGGACTATCATTGGGACATCCCATTTCCTATTGCTTGCACCACGCTAAGACAGCTGGGGGATGTCTAATTCCCCGAGGTTGTTGGCTGTAGCAAACAGACTTTTAAAGCACAGAGGCAATCTATGGGATTTAATTTTTGGCAAGTAGTGAATGGCCAGTGCCCAGCTATTGTCTAGGATGTACTGTGTGCCTGGGGTAGGCAGACGAGTGGACACGGGCAAGGACAGGCTCCGACTTTCCCCGAGGTCACCCAGCAAGGCCTGCTAGCGCCAAGAATCTGCTCTTTGCTCCTGACAAGAGCTCACCACAACATTCGTGAATGCCCACCCCACACTCCCTCAGATGGGGGCCTCCAGAGGACAGAACCTCATACCAGAAATGCCCACCCTACCCACACTCCCTCAGATGGGCGGGGGCTTCCTAAGGACAGAACCCCACGCTGCGAACACCTACCCCACCCTACACTCCATCAGACAGAGGGGCTACCCAAGGACAGAATCCTATGCTATGAACACCCATCCCACCCCACACTCCCTCAGATGGGGGAGCTTCCTGAGGACAACCCCACACCGTGAACACCCACCCTGCCTCACACTCCCTCAATGTGGGCCCCCCGAGGACAGAACCCCATAGTACAGAGCGTCTGGTCCCAGCAGGCAGTCACTCCATGGCACAGCAAGAGCAGTTGCTGTTGCTGTCTCTAGGGTTGTCAGTACAGGACTGTCGCAGCCCAGAAGAGACATGGCCCCACAGGAAGTCAGGTGAGAGGCTGGCACTTGGCCCTGTGCCTCATCACGCCCAGTCCCACTGGGTGTACAGTGTCAGCCTACAGGACACACACCGCAGCTTCCCGTCCACACTGCAACCAGCCCCAGAAGCCTTTCCTTCATTCCTAGTACAGTCTCATCTCACACAGACTAGCAAAGGCAAAGACTCCACCACTTCTCACCATCATTGACATGTCTGGAGAGCCCCTGCCTGCTCCTATCCTTCTACTGGCACATGAGGGACCCCTTACTTTCCCCCAAGTGAGTCTCAGAGAACATAAAGAATGAACTGTTTAAAAAAGCCAACTCCATTTAAACTAGGTCATCAAAAGTTCAGTAAACACAACTCTCCCCTGTGCTTAGAAGTCTTCCAAGGAACCCGGTCCGACAGTTTTCTCCACGGTTCCCAAACGGCAGGAGGAGAGAAGCCTTCTAGATGAAAAAGGTGAATGCCACCAGTTGTTCCAAGTTCTCAAACTTCAGAAATCTCCCCTTCCGCCATCAGATCTTCCAGTCCAGACTGAGGGAGGCATGAAGCGAAGGGTAGTGGGCATGATGAGGCACAGGGCCGAGTGCCAGCCTCCCGCCCGACTTCCTGCAGGGCTGTGTCTCTTCTGGGCTGTGACCATCCTGTACTGACAGCCCTAAAGACAACGACTGTGCTGTGCTGGGACACAGAGTGACTGTCTGCTGGGACCAGACGCTCTGCGTCCAGCACTAATGGGAAGCCCACCTGGGTCTCAGGCCATGCTCTGCTCTGCCCTCCACTCGTCCCTGAGAGTGGGGCCGCCTGGATGGAACAAACACAGAGGCTTCCTCTGGATGCTGGCAGACAGCCCTGCCCCCTCTCTGCCTGAACGTCATGGCCCAACCCTCTGCTGGGGTGCAGAAGATGCCGCAGGCACGAGTTCTCCAAACCAAGTGCGTTTGACTAGGACAGAGTGCTTTGAAAGTGGGTCAGGACCGAGCAATTCACCACGTTTGCTTTTTATACCTCAGTGTTCGGATACTGACTAGGTTCACACTGTCAACAGCAGGGGAGAAGCCTCCCAAGAAACAGCAGGGACGCTGCCCTCCTCAAAGAACTGGACCCATGTCCAAGCCAAGTGCCTCCCTGGTCCATCTCCATGACAACAGGAGCTCAACTCAATGGCTGCAGCTTTGCACTGGCGTGGGCAGTGGATGCTGGTTTCTGGCACAGGAGAAGAATGGGTGTGTGATACCAGAGCACCACTTGGCATCTCTATAGACCGAACAGCCCCGTTCTCGGGGGAGTACCAACGCTCGCTGCCCATGAACGCTGCTCATGGAGAACAAACTGAGGTGAGTCTGGACTCGGCTCACCCAGGTATGAGCTGGTGAAGATGATCAGCCCCAGGTCCAGTTACCAGGTGACTCACGGGAATCAAGGCACATACCTGCCCACCTCACAGAGGCCCCATGTGTTGGGGGCACACCCACATGCACCAGGGCCACACGACAGGACAAGTGCGACATAGGGGGGCTGCATAGATGCGAGCTCCTCCAGGTGTCCTCCTCGGCACAGGAGACCCTCATCACAGTGCACAAAGATCAACGGAAGGACGTGAGGCCCTCGGCTGTGTGTTCTGTGCCCTGCTCACAGGGAGACTATTCCAGAGTAGGCTGGATACCGCTCAGAGCAGAAGTCAAGCACAGGAGGGAGGGAGAGGGGGCTGGGGGCATCCAGGAAGGCCCTAGCGCATGAAAAGCCCCCAAGGGCAGGGCACTGAGGCCTGCTGCTGCTGTGCTGTCAGCTGCCATCTAGCTAGCTCCCAGCGACCCCATGCACAACAGAGCATTAACAGTCCTGCCTGGTCCTGTGCCATCTCCATGATCAGTTGTGGATCAGACTGCTGTGATCCATAGGGTTTTCACTGGCTGATTTTCAGGTGCAGATCACCAGGCCTTTCTTCCTAGTCCATATTAGTCTGGAATCTCCGCTGAAACCTGTTCAGCATCCTAGCAACAAGCAAACCTCCATCAACAGATGGTAGTGGCTATGAATGCTGCTGGTAGACACGTAAAATTAATGCAAAGTGATATTAAGTGCTTCCCACATGTGAGCAAGGACTGGAAGGACATTAGCGTTGGCCTCTGGCCAAATGAGGAGCTAAAATGAGAGGGGACCAAAAGCGTCTGACAAAACAACCAGGACTCCTTCTTGCTTCTTTAGGTCACTTCTCCCTAGGTCTTCAGGACCCCGCGGTGGGCCCATACTTGCCACACCTCCTCTAATCATGGCGGAGGAGTCTTGTGTGATCAGCAGTCAGGTCATGCGGCCCGTGTGACATGAGGCCGAGGGCAGACGGGGCAGGCTACAAGGCTGCTGTGGCTGGCTGAGGTCTTCGTCTTTTCCAGGGCCTGTCCTGCCTGCTGCTCACAACCCCCCAGGACCACCTGGACGGATGAAGCAGCCCTGCTCTCCACAGTGTCCCCTCCTGACCAGGTCTGGCTGGGCTCCTGGGCCTCCACCACAGGGAGGCTCTTCCAGGCCATCTGGAATGCCTGCTGCTCCAAAGCAGCTCCACACCAGGCAGAGACCCCTGGCAGCCCTAGCTTTCTCAGATCCAGTCTCAGCACCCCATCCAAGTTGTTTCATCTCTGTGCTTCCTGGAGTCATGGGCTTTCTGTACTTCAGAGTTGAAAACATTTTCGTTTTATGGTGTCTCTTCTCTCCCAGGAAGCGAAGTTGTCACAAATCCAGGCATTTAGCTGAAAACATTATGTAGTCCTTATAAGCCTGCCTGGCACAGAGGGTTGGCTTCCTCGCCTGCAGCCAAGGCCTTTGGCTCACGTGGCCCCTCCCTACAGTGCCTGGTCTCTGCTCCCTCTGCCCTGCCCTGAACGCCCCTCTTCCTCCCACCTCTTTAAATTCAATTCACCCCTGCGGCCCAGCATGCACCTGCCTCCTCTGCCACGTCTCCCTGGCTCCCAAGCCCTCACGAGGCTGCTGCTTCTCTGTAGCTGACGGCTCTGAGTTTTTCACATTCGTGCTCAGTCTTCTCATAGACGTAAAGCCCTGAGGCAGGGCCACAGCCCCTTCTCATGACGCCCCCCCTTGCCAGGGTTAACAGGAGCCAGCATAGAGTGGTTCAATGAAAAGTCCCTGACTCTCATAGTCCAGAGGGCCTGGAGCCATGGCACTGTCGGGGACTCAGCACTGGGGACAAGAGGGGGTCCTCGCCCCTTCCCTGTGCAAAGCAGAGTGAGGTCAGGAGGCCCCTTCCCTGTAGGCCAAGTCCGCAAACTCTGAGTCCACAAGGCTGTAGGCAAGAGGTGCCCAGGACAGGAACACTGCCTGCTAGAGAATATGGACTCAGCCAAGGCTTGCCTAGAAGAGGCTGGGCTGTGAAAACCACAATACCATCAAATCTACAACATCCGAGCACTTAAACAAGGCCTGAAGACTGCCTGCCAATCCAGTACGGCTGCAGGCCGGGCAGCCCGACAGCTGCCCCCTCTCTGGGACTACATCTGCCTGGGTGCTCCTAAGCCTCTTCTTCCCCTTCTTTTCTTCTTGTCCACAGGGACAGTACTGAATCCTTTGTCCATGCGTGTTTCAATTTTCTTTTTTTAAATCTTAGAATGATAATGAATGGTAAACAAATGAACACCCTTTAAAACCACGTGGGTGGAAGGGCAGAGTGATAACAATTTCAGCAGTGCATCACGCTATCGCTGCTGGTGCTTTTAGCCAAAGTTCCCAGGAAAATCGCCACCTGCCCTATTCTCCTTCCACGGAGGCCCAGGATCCACCCAGCAGCAAAAACAGGCGCCGTCCACTCTGAAGACACTGGAAGCCCTGGAGCCCGCGAGGCCTGTGGCCACGCCAGGGAGAGCTTCACCCACGGCCATTGGGAGGCGAATGCAGGTGCCAGGTTGGTGAGCAGGAGAGCTGGGCCGAGGCTACGGAGCGGAGGGGCTTCCAGAGAACAGTGTGCCCCAGAGGCTCTCATTCCCTCCCACAACTCAGCTAAGCCACCAACCGAAAGCTACCGACATGGAGCGTCCTACTCAGTGGACAAGAGGTTACTTGCCTAAACGTGGAAATGCTGGGGCTTCTTAAAGCATTTCTAAGTGGCCCTGGTTCCTTTGATCTGCCCGCCCTGGAGAATGCTGAGCCACATGGACTCAGATGGGGTGGCCAGGCGGATGTGAATGCACACTTGACTCAGGGTGTCTCCTGTGGACGTGGCCTCTGGGTCCCCACAAGGACAATGTATCTTTATTGTACAAGCAAAAAGCCATGTGCCCCAAACCAGCATGTCCATCCGATTGTTAAAAAGCTTGATTTTTCTGTTAAAAAATAAAAACCTGAAAACTCTATAACTTTGGATTCATTTGCCAATCATTCTGAGGGTTAAAAATGAACTGCACAGCTGGGAATGGCTCCACACAGGGGCACCATTGTTTAAAACGGAATAACTGGGATGTTCCAAAGTATCTGAAGAAGACGGGAATTGGCTTTAGAAGAGATGTGAGGAACTGCTTAATTGACCTCATCTCTGAGGTCACATGAGGTCACAGGAAAGTACACGGAGTAAAGTGCTCCAGCTAGAAGATGTGGGGCAAGGAGGAGGGCGGGCACACCTCTGAGGAAGAGCCGTGTGTCTAGATTGTCAATCACATCTTTACGGTTGGAGAAGGCAGGAGGCAACCAAGAGGGTGAATGGGTAGTCGGATCTCCTGTAAGGGGACATGGGGCATGGGGCATCCTAGCTGGAGCACTGTCCTCTCAGCATTCCCACATGCAGGGAGTGGGGCAGTGGGGAGACACAGTACTGTAGTTGTTGTAGTACAGCCCTGGTACAGAAGTTATACCCTCCAGTGACCTTCTAGAATTGTATCGGCTTGCTACATGCATGTCTTCATAGTCCAAACATGTGTGAAAAACACCATGCGTCTAGAGACGGTTGGGGTTGTCTTTTTGTTGTCGCTGGAACTGGGGACAGCGGACATGTATATTTGCCACAATTGCAACAGAAAAAACTACGTCCAACATAAAAAAATTAAATAAATGAGCGACAAAATACAGAGGGCCTTGGTATGTCTGAGAGACGGGGTGCCCCGGCCAGGAGGCAGGGTGTCTGCACATGCTGTGGCGCCCAGGCACGAGCAGAGGCATGCGCACGAGCCTTCTGAGGGCAGACAGGACGCCATCATCCAAAGGAAGAGGCTTGGGGCTGTTCCATTTGACAGTGATGGGTGAGCTCATGGGGGGAGGGAAGGGAAGGCACCTGCCAAACGCATCAAAGGTACCAATGAAGATAGAAAAGGGGAGAAACCAAGGGACAGGAGGTGATAAAATACAAAAGAACAAATACAGACAGATGGACAAAGACACAGGTCCACTGAGGAATCGGGCACGAGGTTTGCTACTAGATTTATAGGCCACTCTCTCAGACGTTTGGTGGGAAACCGTCCAGCCTGCAAATGAATATAAAGGGAAGAAAACAAAGAGACACTTATCAAGTACAAGTCACTGCGACTCTATGTCCTACCACACCACCAGTCACATCAGCTTTGTTACTTAACATCCATGGCTGCACCTAGCCCAGCCCAGACGACCAAAGCCACTGACCACGTAACGGAAAGAAGGCAATGGTAGGAGCAGAAGAGAAGCGAGCTCCCAGAGGTGAGGGGTGGGGGGTGGCACCTTCATCAGAATCACCAAGGTTTCTTTGGATAGAGGTGGTGAAGAGAGTGGGTGAGCACTTTATCCAGCAGCTGCTATCATCCATGGCAGCGCTGAAGAGAGAGCGTTTCCATCTCAAGGTGAATCTCACGCCCAAGAGCCTGGCCCTCCTCCGAACCACTTTCCCGAGCAGAAGGCCCAGGTGGTTAGCACTGTGCTGGCTCCGCGCAGGGAATGCGCAGGGTGGGTGAGCCAGTGACTAGGAACCATCGCAGCAAAGTGGACAGAGGTGCCCCGCCTGACTCCCCTCCTGGTCATCTGGCTACACTTTAGGGTCCTGGTGGCTTCCCTAGGCTCATGCTAGCCAAGCATGGCCTCCCTTGGAGCCACTCGCAACAAGACTGGGTGATGGCTGGGCAATTTCCTTCTCTGCATTCAAAGACTAGTATTTTCTAAGTGGCCACTCAGCAGACTTGCTGCAGCTCTGTCCTCCTCTACACACTGGCGTGCTCCTGGGGACACCACCGAAGCCCTGGGCTAGCACATGCTTGAGAGTGGAAAGCTGGGAATCACCTTGGCCATGCGCTCCGCCTCCATCACTGGCTAAGCCGGAGCAGATGTCGGAAGACAGGGAGGCTCTCACGGAGCAGGGCTGCTGGGTGTGGACTGCCTTGCCACACGGGTCTGGAGCCGGGGGCACTGCTGGGCTTTCTGCAGCAAGCCCTGCTCCCCCTTGGGTGGGGTCCTTAGCAGGAGGGCCTCTGCTGCATTCTGACAAGTGACCTGGGTGGGGAGAGAGGGTGACAGGCATGATGAGGCGCCGCTGGCAGGAACGCCTGTGTGGTACTCGTCTTTGTCTCCCTGCTGTTTGCTGGGTGACCCTGGGGAAGCTCTCTTGCCTGTGGGCCTCCAAGTCCCCTGAATGCAATGGGCACACAGCCATACCCCATATTGGAGTGTTAGAAAGATCAGAAAAGTTATCACGGTCTCCACCAGTCACAAACGCGAGGTCAGAGACTCTTACTCTGTGATTTGCTGTTGTTCAAATTCAGTTAAAGACCATAACACACCTGGAGCTGCATAACTAGGTGCAAAGTGGGCCTATGCACGGCCTCCTCTCACCACCCCCTGTAGCTTCAGAACTGGCACTGAGGTCACTTCACTCACGCATCCCTGGGAGTGTGGCCCTCAGACTCCCAGCAACACTTCATGCATCAACAGCGCTGTTAACTGCCCCTCAGGGGCTTTGGCTCCTGGGCCTGTCTCATCACAGAGCTCTGGAGCTAGCGCTAGCAGGCAGGAGCAGCCACAGAGAGCTTGCAGGGACCTCTGCAATGCAAGGTGTTGGGTTCTTGCAGCCTGGAGGCCAGGCCAGTAGACTTACTGATACGATGTCATCACACAGAGCCGAGGGTCCTCACTCATCCTCCTCTCACTTATCTTCGAGGCCCACAGACACAGGCCAGCTGAGATGATTATAGAAACGGGAGCAGAGGAACAGGCCTGTCCTCTGCAGTGCCCTGCACTGGTGAGCAGCGAGGGGCCTTTGAGCCCCACCCCAACTCTGCAGAAACCAGGCCCGAGACTGGATTGGCAGCCAGAGGGCCTCCCACTGCTCCCTGAGGGCCAGAGCCCGGCTCTGAAAAGTCCCTGCCCCTTACAGTTGTCCCTCTCCACACAGAGGACGAGAAGCCCAGGTCTACCCAGCCTGCCACGTCTTTCCCAGCTCCAAATAAAGGAGACGTAGGAAGAAGAAACCCCAGACCTTCTCTCCTAGGGCCTGGAGGATGTCACAGCCTCATTAAGCCTAATCTCCCAGGCTCACTGGGGTCCCTCAGTCTACCTCCCAGACAACATTCCCACCCAGGCATGCCCCCCAGGCTGGCCAGAAGGAGACCCTGCCGACCTGTGCTGGATGCCACGACCTTGAGCTGCTGTACCAGGGGGTTGAGCAGCTTCCCTGCCTTCAGTTTGCTCTTACTGGCTTTCCTCCGGCGGCCAGTAGGGGGCGCTGTGTGGAAGAAGCCCACGTTGGGGGGCAGTGGCTTGCCCAGGCGGCGGTACAGGGCCTCGATCTCCTGCTTCTGCTGGGTCTGCAGCTCTGAGATCTCCTTCAGGTGCCTGGAGGAAGAAGGAGGGAGAGAGAGGGAGGCAGGCAGGCTTCCCCAGCCATCCCAGACACCCGTGTGCCCTTCCACGGAAACCACCCACAAGTCAGGAGGAAGGAGTGGAGGAGGGACCGGCAGCTACCCACGGGGCTAACTGGGTCTCCACATGTGCCACGTGTGGGCAGTTTCCAGTACCCTGAAACTAAATGGGCACCACGTGAGCCTCCGCAGCCACACGCCCCAGGACACAGGATGGGCGCCACGTAACCCTCTGGAGCTACACGCCCCAGGACACAGGATGGGTGAAGCAGAGGCCAAGGAGCCCCAGTATTCAAATGCGTAGAACTGTCACCACTGCCATTGTTTTCTGATGGGAGAGGGATGGAGGACTTAAGTTTGTATTTATGCTTGCAATAAAAGCCCTAGACATTCACACAGGTACCAGCCGTGGAATCTCCTATGTGGCCTTTGTTCTTTCGAGCTAGACCAACATCTTGGGGCAACGGATTACCTTGTGTGGTCTTTTGTCCTTGCTTTTTGGAAACTGACCTTAGGGAAATTTCACAAGTTGCTGGCTGCCCCTGAGGGTTTGTTACTTTTGCCAGGTTTGGCTAGGGAGCCCCCACCAGGTAGCTGACAGCCTACAATGATGACAAAGGAGCTCGAGAACTGGCTTATAAAAGCCCAAGAACATGGAGACTCAGATGGGACTTCCAAGTTGATCAGAGTCAGGAGGGATGCTCAGCCTTTGGACACAGAAGCCTTGGGCTGGAAAGCCTCCTACAGCTGGTTAAGAGCTGTGCAGAGGAGAGAAGAGTTGTACAGAAACAGAGCAGAACTGAGGGCTACGCTAATGAAGAGCTTAGTGGGGAGAAGAACCGAGCAAAGCTATCTTGGCTGAGAGAAAAACTGTTTAAAAGCTGTACTGGCAGGGGACATTTCTGCCCCGAGAGCTGCACTGGCAGAGGGCATTCTGCTCCAGAGAGCCGTCATGGAGCATTTCCTTGTTGAAGAGTTTCTGGCTTGCTGAAAGTGAACATCTGTTCTCGGAAGGGTAAGCGTGTCCCCTTCAGATGTTGAGTCTCTGGGCCTGGGACCCCTCCTGGACCTCGCCCTGTGCATATCTTCAGTTACATTCTTTTCTGTTATATTAAAACTGTTATCACAGGTATGGTGTTTCCAAGGAGCTTTGTGAGTCATTCCAGTGAACTACCAGACCTAAAGGGAGTAGTTGGGGCTGGGTCTGAAGTACAGGGAGTTGTGTGGACCTCTGTGCCTGTGGCACGTACCTGTTGATCTAGCCTCGGGTGCCTAGGGATGAGAGAAAAGGGCTGCGTGGGCAGCTGGGATCAGAGTGCCACGCAGCTCCCAGCCTGGGGGCTGCAGCCCCTCAGCCTCACACAGGTCCAGCTCCTCCTCCTTTAAGGCTAGCACGCCAGGTGTTTTTCATGGTTAAACATGAGGAAGAAAGTTCTGATTTTATCTTCAACATCTGCCAGATTTGTATTAGAAGAATAACTTTCTTTAGCTATTAAAAAAAAAATCTGAGTGGCTTTCTCTGCAAATGGCAGGGAAAAAAAGCAAGTATTGTTGCATCCAATGAGGTTTTGGAAAGAGGTGCAGTATTTCAAGAGTGTGAGCTGGTAGTCACATGGGTGATACTGGATCACCAGAGGGAGCATCTGATTCAGAATAATTTCAGGACAGACCTCTCTTTTAAGGTATGTGACCCCCAAAGCCCAGCCTGGTTGCTGCTTCCTTCCATCCATCCTTGGCAACAGTGTTAGGGAGCCTGACTGCAAAGCAACTTCTATTCCAGGGGCTCCTCCCTTGCTTGCTCTGAGCTCGGCCCTTGCCTGCTCTCAGGGCACAATCTCCAGCAGTCTGCAGTGGTGCTTCTTAAAGCAGGGGTCCAGGCCAAGTGCTGGGTTCCTGGGAGCTTGGAAGAAACTCACGGGCTTGGCTCCCACCCTCCTGAAGCAGCAGCTCTGGGGTGGGGCCTGGCAATCTGTGTTTGAACAGTCTCCAGGGCTTCAGATGCACGCTGAGGCTTGAGAACCACTAAATATCTCCTCCTGGATGTAACCAAGTCCCCGTAAGTTAGGTTCAAAATCTTCCTCCACCTTCTCAGTTGCTGCCCTTTCGTGGGTTCCATGGCTCTTCCAGGGCTGCAGGAGAAAGCCTGAACTTACTCCTGCTAGCCTTCCCCTTCCTCTTCTTCCTGAGGTCAGACAGGCTGCCATGTCTTCCTTTCAGATGCCTCTTGAGGTCAGTCTTTCCCGTCCCTGGGCACCCCCTCACCATGGTTCCCAGGGTGTGCAGACCAGCCACCCTTCCCCCATGCAGGCTACAGGCTCTTCTCCGGAGAGTACAACGGCTTCTGTTACCCATTTTCTCACATCCAGACTCTTATGCATCCTCGCTTTCCTCACAGAGCCAGCACAGTCATGGCCCGTGCTCAGACCTGCTCCTGGACTGAGCCCCTACTCCTGATGTACTGACTAAGCCTCACCTCCCCCGTGAGACAAGCCCATGTGAAAGCCACGGCAGGAGTGGAGGAGGCTGTGCTCAGGGCACCTGGCAGAGCCCTCGCTTCGGCCCTAGGATGTTCCAGGTCATGCCCATCATGGACTTCCACCAATCCTCACACCTGACCACACCAGGCCTTTCTGAGCTTCTCTGAGACCAGTAGTCATGTGTACCCAGCCCTTGCCTCCTGTCCTTCCTGGTGTCTACAGCGTGGCCCCCTGGCTTTTGTGCAGCCCTGGGACAGGAAGGCACACTCAGACATCCCTAACAGAGGGGCAGTGGGAGAGCCCAGCACAGTGGAGCTCAGTGGTAGAATTCTCGCCTTCCATGCAGCGGACCTGGGTTTGACTCTCGGCCAATGCATGAGTGCAGCCACCACCACCACTCAGCTGTCAGTGTAGGTTCTCGTGTTGCTAGGGTGCTGAACAGGTTTCAGTGGAGCTTCCAGACTAAGATGGACTGGGAAGAAAGGCCTGGCCATCTATTTCCAAAAATCAGCCAATGAGAATCCTGTGGAACACAACAGCCCAATCCCGTTGCTCATGGGGTCACTGTGAGTGGACTCTGACTTCATGGTAGCTAAAAAGTGGGAGAGTGCAGAGCATGTCTGACTCCAGCCACATGCTTGAAAGAGGAGGCAGGACTACTGTCTTCTACTTGTTTCTGCTATTTCTTAGCCCACTCAAAGGACACCCAAGTCAAAATCGCTCCATCCTGAAGGACACTGGCTTTTCTCTTACTGGTGATTTCAGTGTCCACCACACCTCAGTATTTGCCTCCTGCCAACCCCTAAGGAAAGCTCAGGGGTGTCTGTGCTTTTCCAGTCCCTGGACGACAGTGGGGGTGGGATAAATATGTGGTGGATGACAGCGTGAGGGCAAGGAAGGCAAATGTGCAAGTGACACTGCTCAGACCTTACAGCAGAGGGTGGTGGAGGGAAGGACTAGGTCCAGCAGGAAGGCGTGGTGAGGAGAGAAGCAGTCCCCCACCCAGAAACAGACAGAAGGCAGGGAGCTGCCGGCAAGCCCCAAGGGGGGCTCTGAGTGTGGGATTCCCAAGTCAGCCCGGGTCCCTCCCCTGCCACCTTCACCCTGCAGCTCCATAGGACAGGACTGGGCCTGGGCTTCACCTGGCCCGGTCTGCCACACCCTCCTGACTTCACACAGCCCGACCACACCTGCAGCTGGGCTGCAGCCCCGCCCGTACACTCACTTCTCACGCAGGCTCTGCAGCTCCTTCTTTATGTCTGCATCCTCAAACTCCGAGTCATTGTCGCTGCTAATGTAGGATGACTGGGAGTGGAAGGAGGTGACACTGATAGTGGGGACTTTGATGCTGGGCCGGATGGGCGTGTCTGGGCCCAGCGAGCCTGTCCTTGAGGACCTATGCAGGAAGGCGGTGGCCTTCTTGACGAAATCACTGGCCACACTGCTGCTGCTGGGCAGTGAGGCCTGCTTCTGCACTGGGGGCCTCCTCCGTGGGCTCTCGTCCCCAGAGTCGCTGGATACGGGCTCACCGGCACCAACCTCGATAGAGGAGGCCGTCTGCACACGCCGCACCGCCAGCTTCATGTCAGGACTGGCAGGTAGCGCGTCCAGGTAGACGTCAGGCGGGGCTGAGTAGCGCAGGCTGTGGGGCGAGGCCAGGGTCCACTCGTCTTGCATGCTGACCACCGAGAAGCGGCCCACGGTTCTGGCTGGTGAGCTGCTGGTCTGCTGCCCTGGCTGCTTCTGCGGGGAGCCTGAGTCCAGGGAGCCGTGCATCCGAGGGCAGCCAGCCTTACCCTCTGAGGCCAGCATCCCTGTGGAGCGCTGTGTGGACTCGGCTGAGGTCTCCCTGGGGGTCCCTCTGGCCTGGCCTGTGGGCTCCAAATGTGTGGGGACTGCTGAAGCCATGGCATCCTGGGAGCAAGCCAGAAAGGAAAAGATCCAATGTGAGCACTAGGGGAGGGCAAGCCCAAGCGACTCCACTGCATTTCTCACCTGAGAACACATCTTACCTGCAGAGGGCCGGGTGTGGTGGCTGGGTCCAGCGCTGCCCATCTGCCGGGGCCCAGGGTGCTGCTGAGGGATGGCTCTGTGCACGAAGACCAAGAACACTACTCAGGAGTGCAGGGAAGCAAGGGCAGGGGTGGCCTGATGGCGACTCCGGCACGCCGGGAAGTGGCTGTGTGCCCATGGCAGTGATGGAAACTAAGGCCTCCTGCAATGTCCTGGTCCCGGGGCACTGGGAGCAGGGTTGCTTCATAGGATCTGTGGCTGTCCCTGTTTGCTCGTCTAGAGAGTGGGGATAAATCAGCTGCTGTTGAGTCTATTCTAACTCTTGGCAACCCCATGTGTGTCAGAGTAGAACCGTGCTCCATGGAATTTTCAGTAGCTGATTTTTTAGAAGTAGATCTCTAGGCCTTTCTTCTGAGGTACCTCTGGGTGGACTTGAACCACCAACCTTCTGGTTAGCAGCTGGGTGCATTAACCATTTGCACCACCCAGGGACTCCCAGAGAGCAGGGATATGACATGGTATTTCTAATTAACCTGCCCAATGTCCACAGTGGTTAAGTGCTTGGCTGCTAACTGAAAGGTCAGTGGTTCAAACCCATCAGCAGCTCTGCAGGAAAAAGACGTGACAGCCTGTTTCCGTAGAGATTTACAGCCTAGGAAACCCTACGGGGGCAGTTCTACTCTCTCCTATGGGTTTGCTATGAGTTGGAATTTACTCTACAGCAATGGGTTTGGTTTTTGCCTAGTATCCTGTGCAGAGTGAGCAAGAAGGATAAAGACCTGAGATGTGGGAGCACTGGCCCAGCTAAGACCCTCACAAGGCAGAGACCAGTGGACAGCCCAGGGCTGCTCAGCCCTGGGCTGGGACAGTAGCTGGGGGGTTGGGGGGTGGGGGCGGGTAGAGCATGGGAAGCAGGAGCCAGCCAGCAGATCAACCAGGGCCAGGCAGAGCTGTGTGTGATGCTGGGACAGTCGCCTGAAGCTGCTGCCAGAGGCAAGTCTCCTGTGCACAACCCCACTGGGGACTCAGCCTCAAACCAGACTCCTGGGAAGACTCGGTCTAGTCTGTTGTGTACCCCAAACTTGTGGGCAATGCTTGACTCCTCCCTTTCCATACCTGTGAGGGTACCATCCAACCTCTCTTTCCACACCTTCTGGCACGGGGGGCTTGCTTCCAACTGCATCCCTCTATTTCTGGACATCTCTGACTGCCAGAAAGCTTCACCTTTTCTAAACTAGAACCTGTCTCCTTAGCGCTCCCCCCACGAGGTCTGCCCTCTGGGAGGTGTGGACTGTGGAGTGGCTCAGTCATCTGCAAGCTACTGAACCTCCCTGAAGCTCATTTTCTTCACGTGCACGAGGCCAGAATCGGACAGGATGACGGCGCAGCGTGGCCCTCAGAGACGGTCCCTCCTCTCCACCCTCCTGCAAGGCATTTCTGCTTTGGTCCCCCCAGACTTGGCTCTCAAGCACTGACTAGCTCTGGGAGCACCCCCAACCCCTCTCAGACTGTGGCATCTAGCGGCGGAGGCAGCAGCCAGGGGGTCGATCCTCGCTCAGTGAACGCAGCCCGAGCCCAGAGACCTGCAGCTCACTAACGCACACTGAGGTTCCCACTACAGGCGTCCTCGGGATGCTGACTCTTATCTTACCAATCCCCAAGAAATTCCAGACTGAGAAGGAACACCACACCTAAAGAGGTCAGACCAGCTCCCATGGGCTGGTTACATGGGGTATTCAGATAATGAAATGAGAACCAATGCAAAAAGTTTCCACAAACATTCACAATACCCAGGAAGAACACCCCTGGGGAAAAGAAATCCTGCCTCCAAGCTCCTCACAGACAGCCCCAGCCCACTGCAGCTTCGTCTAGCTGCTAGAACCCCCAGCTCCACTTGATCCAAAATGTCTCAGAACCCTGGTATGTTGAAGCCTTGCTAAGGAAGTGAAGGGGAGGGGAATGTTTAGAATACTCATTTCTCAGGAAGTCTGGGAGGGCCAAGACACAGCTCCCGACGATGTCCCAGATGCCCAGTCAGGGCTCTTATTTATTCACCAAGAGGATTTCTCTTTTGTTATTGTGAACGTTTGGTTTATCCTGGAACTCAGCGAGTTTCAGGCAGAGTCACGATGACTCCTGCCACTTCTCAAAAAGGCCGTGTCTGCACACCAGAGGAGGTGCTTTGGGGAGCAGGGGTGAAGGCTGGGGCCCCCGCGTGAACATGCCTGGGCAGGCCAGTGGACCCTGATTTCATTACCTGTTACTGGTGAAGACTGCTCCTGTTCTGGCACACCCACTCGCCCTGTTGCCATTTCCAACTTTTCCAACTTCAGGAAGCAACAGGAAGAGAAAACAGCATGAGTCTCGCTTGTTAACATCTCTAAACATCTAAATTATGCACCTTTTTCTTCTCCTAGTCTCTGAAGGCTGGCCTGCACCCCCACACCCCTCCCCTGCAGGGACCCAGCCACACAGGGCAGATGACATACATCTATGGTCACAGAGGTAGCGCCCTCACGCCAAGTCCCCATACCTGGTCCTTGCTGCAAGTGCATGTGGGTGGCCTGGCCCAGCAGGGGCAAGGAGGGCAATGATGGGACCCTGGGGCTGACTAACGGGGATTCCCTGCCTGCCCCAGCTCCTCCACCTCTCCTCCCCCCAGACTGCTGCCCCTGCCAGGTGCTAGGCCACTCACCACAGGCTGGGGCAGCAAGGCAGGCCCTGGAGGCACATCGGCTGGTGCCGAGTGGGGAGGCTCCAGGGTGAAGTCTCTGTCGCCCAGCTCCACGGGGGTCCCTGCTGAGGCGGAGGATGTGGGGACGTGCTCCTGGTACAGCAGGGTGCGCAACTTCTCATCCAGGCTCTTGATGGTGTTGTCCACAAAGCCCACCCTAGGTGGCGGCCCTTCCCCATCAGACTCCAAGGCTACAGGGGGCTGGGCGGGGGCAGCGGGCCCCAGTGGGGGGCTGGGGAGCTGGGAGGTGGCCAGGCCAGCAGGGCTGGGCTCAGACACCAGGGCTGGCAGGGGCTCCCCCTGAGCGCTAGCTTCCAAGGCTGAGGCTGGCTCCCCCAGATGTGGGGCACAGGGCTCTTGGCTGGTGCCAAGAGGCTGTGCAGCACGCTGGGTATCAAGAGTCTCCATGAGTGCCAGGGGCATCTCATGCTCTCTGCCCGGTCCCTGAGGGGTCCTGGCACCCCTTGCTTGGATGGCAGTCCCCATTGCTGGCTCTGGCATGGTGGTAGCTGCTGGCACTACTGTGCCTTGGGGCAGGTCAGTCATGGGCAGGGAGGATGGTACTAAAGGGGCGAGTGCCCTGCTGTGGGGGTCACCGAAGCTGGGGTGGCTCAGAAGCTGTGGGCCAGCGAGGAGGCCGGGTGGTTCCTTTGAGGACAGCTGGTCTGTACAGGGTGTTGGATCTAGAGGATACAGAAACACACCTTTGTATCACCCTTCTCTGGGTATCTTCCCTTCCTTGGCCAAAAGGATGCCTTCCGTGATCTGGCCTTGGCCCCAGCACACTGGTCATTTCTGTTTCTCCAATACGCTAAGTTTGTTCCTGCTCAGGTCTCGGCACTGCCTGTCCCCTCGTCCTTACGTCTTCCACGGTCTTGGAGTGCTTCCTCCGTCTTGCCTACAGGACTCTGTTACAATATCATCCCCTTTGGCTGAACTAGTGCCACCATCCCTCCCCCTGCACCACCCCTCCCCCTGCACCATCCCTCCCCCAGCACCACCCCTCCCCCTGCACCCTCTTACACTTAACTTGCAGATACAACTGTTGCCTGGGTACTGTCTTTCCACTGATAAGAGATAAAATCAAAATAGAGGCTTCTGACCTATTTGTAAAATGACTGAGCTAACTCTAAGTGCTCAATGTAACCTCTTCCCCAGTCTCTACCTTTGTTGCCTAGGAACCAACCCCTATTATTGTTAAGGAAATAAACTGCTTTGCAATTAGGCTAAAGAATGTGAATACCTCATGGAAACTCATTTGTTTCCTGACGGAAACTCTGTTCCCAGTACCCTCTGGTGATTGATGCTCTGAGCAAGGTAACTTTTAACAGACCATTCCTGAAAATTTCCATCATGTCACTGGCTTTGTAACCAACATGAAGCCCCCACTTTGACCCCATGCCTTTCAATTATGTCTTTTAGCCAATCAAATGTATTCGTGTAACCAATTAAATCAAAGATTATGCTTTACTTTGTCTTGCCTTTGACTGAACTCAATCACTATAAATCAATCGGAATATTGTGTTTTGTACTTCTTCCTCGAGCCCTGTAACTTTGTGCCACCAAGTGCTCCCCCTTGGATTCGTGTGTTCCATTTGCTGGGACTCCACGTTTCCCATAGAACAGACATACTCCCATAGACAGCTGCAGCTGTCTCTATTCACTCAATAAAACTCTTTACTTTCAATTTTAACCAGGCCTTGTGATTTTGCTCTACAATATTACTTGGTGTCAGAAGTGGGATTTCAAATCTGTCCTGCCTTCTATGACCCTGGGGACATCGAGAATGCAGGCCTGGCCATCAGAGCCTTTTGGCTCACCACCTACCCGGATTCCCAAAGGTTGTCTAAGGTAAAGTCTCTTGAACTTGAGCTCTGCCTTCATTGTACAGAGCTCTGTGACTTTTATTGAGGATCTGTCTTTACTTTCATTTTTGGTTCACTCTCTGAAAGTTCTGATGAGTTTGTTGCTAAATTCAGTTTGGTGGGGCTGTTCCTACAATATCCTCAAGTCTACTCAAGGTTCCAGCCCATTAAGTTTGAACTCACTTTCTCTTTCCTAGGGCACTTTCAAGTTATAGCGTGCATTCAGGGTTCAGTGCACATTCAGTTTTTTTTTCCCCCACTTGCAAGTTCGAGTTAAAGTTTGTTTGATCTAGGTCTGGTGGACATTTGAGGTTGCTCCTCACAATCTGACATTGTAGAGGTTACTTTAAGGGATGAGAGACCTAAAGCTTCTTGCAACCAATTTTTTTTGCTGTGTACACATTTGGTCCTTATTTTACAGGTTTTTCACGTTGGCTGATTTCACACACTGATAAATTATGTAGTTTTTCTGTTTCATTTGAACTTGCTTCTAGTCTAAGAAATTTTATCTTGTATCAAATTAAAAGCCATAGCTAACAACTACTGTTTTTTTCCTAAAACTGTTTTTGCCTGCCTCATAATCTAAAAAAAGATTTCCTGGCAGCTCCTCTAAGATACTTCAAGATAAATTAGCCTATTTGAAAAGTGAAGACTGCTTCTGTGTTACCAGGCAACTGGGCTGAACTCATGCTACTTGCATTTGAAAAGGTGGTGGTGTAGCTCCACAAATGACTGAGGGCTTTGCCAGCTTTGCCTAAATCTTCTAACTTTCAGAAATGAAAAAATTATATCTCTCAGGTTTTTAGATACCATTACACAAGTGACTACAATTTTTATAACACCTGACATCAAGATAAAGAAAACTTATGAGTCTGAAGTAACCGTTATTCAGACCTTTGCCCAAGCCTGGCTATAGATAAGTCCCTTCAAAAACCCAACAAACCCCTTTTTATTAATGATGTAATATATTAATGTACAGCTTTGTAAACTTTTGCCTCCAAGCCTTGATGAAAATTGCTGCAATTAAGGTAAATTTTTTTTTTTTTTTGAAGCACGTAGAAGCTATAACATAGGCTATAGATCTAGCCACTAATGACCTTTGGACTATTATACAAAGCAACCCCCTATGAGGATAAGACTTCAAGATAAAAATCAGTTCTGATCCTAATAAGTTTTTGTTATTCATGTAGATAGTCAACAAAAAGACCCCTTCCAACCAAATAAAAACGTTTTTTAACAAAAAATAAAAATTTAAATAGCGATATCGACTGTTTAGACGAGCTTTATTTCAACAGTGATTGTTTTGTAATATACAGATTTAATTGCCAGAATTTTTTAGTAACTTACTGACATTAAATTGGGTTAGTGGATGTTTGTTATAATTAAAGTTTACCGGCTCTTACTTTTTAAGCTACAGGAAAAAAAATACATTCATTTTTACAAGAAATTTAAAAGGTTTATTAAAAACAAAAATTTTTTGGTATGGTTAAAGTTCTTATTCACTACAGCTAAATATTTAATGAGCTGATTTATAAGAATTTTTTTATTGTGCTTTAGATGAAAGTTTACAGAGCACAATTAGTTTCTCATTAAACAATTAATACATACATTGTTTTGTGACATTGGTTGCCAACCCTACAATGTGTCAACACTCTCCCCTTCTTGACCTTGGGTTCCCCACTACCAGCTTTCCTGTCTCCTCCTGCCTTCTTGTCCTTGCTGCTTGGTTGGTGTGCCCACGTAGTCTCATTTTGTTTTATGGGTGATTTATAAGAATTTTTAAGAGCTTTAATATTAAACAATATATAAACTAAAAATTGGGTTTCTCAATGTTAGAATAACAGAATTTTCTTTAAAACTAAATAATTAGTTTTATTTTTTTTAATGCAATCTGCCTGAAAAGCAAAGGTTCAAAAGAATAAATTTCTAAATCAAAAACCAAGCCACGTGGCTTTGGAAGAACTAAGACTTTTATCTTTAAGATCTTTAATAACTAAAATATTGTTTCTCAATAGCCTATAATAACCTCCTGACATCTTTGAAACTTCATAAAAAGCCATAAAAGATTTATTTCTATTTCCTAAAGAAAAAAGCGCTAAAAAAGTTTATTTAATATGTTATAAATTACATAAAACATGTTGTCAAACCAAGAGAAATGCCAAATTTTTGTTAGGTTAAAATTTTATGTGTTAATGTTTCCTCTTATGTTTTTTGCCTGATATTAGACAAGAAGCTCATCCTATTACATCATAATTTTATTATCCTTTCAATTACTAACTTAGTCACAACTTTATTTCTTTATTTTTATCTCGTATCATCAAACCCAATGGTTTCACCTATGGGGAGTTTTTATTATTGTTGGTACATCCTAACTCTTTAAAAATGAGGTTAATCATTATGTTTAGAGATATTTTCACCTAAAGTTTTTATTTGACTTTATTTAACTTTGCATTACTTTTATAGTTATTTACCATCAAATCTTTTCACTTTTAAAAATTATTATATAAGCTAATGATAGCCATTCGTAAGCTTGCTACTCATAGATAAGTTTTAAATTGATTCTCTGAAAACACAACAAAAATGGACTATATCAGACTCATAAAGAGGACTATAATATTTTTAATATAAATGCCATTAGACTGAATCAGGATTTTTAAAAATTCTTATGTAAAAATTGACACAGGGTTTTTCAAGTTGCTGCTAATCCAGAATAACATGAAACCAAAACTGGATACATAAAACTAAGTAAACTAAAAAGATTACTATAAGATTCATATAAAAATATCACTAATATACAGTGTTCTATTTCCGAGATATAAAAATTCATTTTTTTCTCACTTCTTTCTTTTTTTTTTACATAAGAATCAGCTATTTCAGGAACTGATAACACTATACTGGTTACAGAATATCCTATGAATTAAAAAACGTTATGGCTCATGTCAAAGTTCTAACTAAAATATATTCAGAAATGCCACAGACTCTAAGAAATAAATACTGAAATAACTATGGTGACAGAAATAGTTCCTCAAAACCATATGTCCCTCCCTTATATTACTTACACCATCTCTAATATTGTTAAATATTGCCAATCTTTAATCCAATACTCTAAGGAATGTTTTCACAGGTTATAAGAGTCTTTGATGACCAAGAACCAAAATCCAAAAATTTGCCTGATATTATTCCAAGGGACCATATATATTAGAAAAAACATCAGCCAAAAGATTCCCTGGAGCCTTGTTGGAAAGGACTGTACATAGTTCCCCTTACTAATTCTTATACCTCTAAATTACAGAGAGTTAAGACTTAAATACACCTCTCCCAATTAAAGAAGACTGCAGCTCCTGTTTAAATTGTCCAGCCAACTAAAGGGCTCAGACTGAAACTCAGCTGCCCCAGTAAACAGAAGCAAATAACTGCGACAGAAGCAAACAGTTCTGCCCCAAATCACGGAACAAGACTTCATACGAGCACCTAAGATTTTTGGGCTGTGCTTTATAATCTTTACTTTGGTATTTATCTTAATTATCCTTCACCAAGTTAGTATTCTGTCCTAGCAAAATACGTTGTATAGAAACCCCTGAAGTAGTTACTCTTTATTTAATACTTAAAACTTTTAAAGTGGCACTTTTATCAGCTGGGATTTATCAGATTAGTAAATTGCTACCTGTTACTTTCCGATTTACATCCATTCCTCTCTTTCCCATGTATATACAGGTTATTAAAGTCCTTGAATTTCTATTCCTACTGGCATAGGTGATCCTTATAGAATTACATTTAGAATGCTTTATCCCTATATTGGGAAATTTCCCTCCATGGTG